TGTACAAGCCAAGGCAATCCAGGTTGTTCATGACGCGTGCTATATCAAGATTCAGTCTCTGCCTTTTTCTCTTTTTTTGTTGATGTTTCTGGTACTAGAGTTCTTTATTGAGGTTGCGTACCCGTTTTTATCTTATTTGTACCATGTTATCCATTGGGGATGCACTACTGCAGGCCTTGGAGACTGGCACGCCAACGGTGACAGGAAGGAATGGCCAAGTTAATCTCCAACGTCCTAGTGGTAGCCTTTGGCAACAACTGTGTGATGCTGCTCCAGGGGATATGCAGCATTTGCTGCCATCCGTTCAACGCTTCTTGGCTGTGGGTGAGTCGTGTGAAGCCACCATACATTTGCATCGGGATTTAGGGCTGCCCGGAGGTGAAAACTATGACCTGTTCAGTCGACATGCACAATATGCCAGAGCCACGCCCATATTCCATGGGAAACCATGGTACTCTGATGTTGCAAGGAAGGAGGCCGTGAATGGACGAGGCCAACGGGTTCGTTTTGGCAAACTGTTGCTTAGGTATGTTCACACTCACGAAGGTTTTGGCGAGAGTGGTGGATGGGATTCAGGTGAGGGAAATTAGTGCAAGAAGAGGTGGCGTTCATCAGGAACTATGATACCATTGGGGCTGCAAAGGAGTATGACTTGGAGCGATTAGTATGGCACCAAGGGGAGGATGCCTATTCGGTGAGCCCGATATCATGCATATTGCGCACACTGCACGTCGTCCCTACTTCAGCGGACCCTCAAGCGAATGAGGCAACTTTTCTGCTGAACACGTTCAGAAGGTAGCTTGATGGTAGCTGTTGGCTCTTAACTCACATTACTGAACAAGTTGGGTTATGCTCGATCCATCTATTTTCGTGCGAGGTCCTAAGGTCGTAGTACTTTGATGAGGTTCTTGCAGAATCATCCATGCGTTCACAACAGTTTCATGGCAGCGGTGACCTTGTTTCCTCGCGTTAATAGTGCCCTTATAATAGTATCTTATACATACATGCTTATTAGGTGTTTTTTTAAGTGCCATATTTGACATACTCCTAACGTGCATAGAAGTCCCACTCAATGGGTCCAGCCGGATTAGCAGCGGTGGGGGAGCTGCAAATTGCGATGCACGCACTGCTGCAATGGCGGGGGGGGTTTGCTGCCAAACAGTAGAAGGGGTTTCGAGAACCACTGTACAGTATAGGTGCTGTTTCTAGTCCTTCACCTGGCTGCCCTTCTGTTAAAAACTCGGCGAAGCTGCCTTATGTTAAAAACTCGGCGAAAAAAATTGTTTCTCAGATTATCGCAGCGGTAACACAGGGATGGACAGATTAGATACCAACGCTAAGCTCGCCAAAATTGCATGGCGGACGGTAGAGAACACTATTTCCAACTGCCCGTCCTTGAAAACATACGATGTAACCCCTGGCTTCTCAGGGTGTATCCCGACTTGCAAGTTTGAAGAAGGTAGCGCACTACATCCTACTGTATAGCACATATCCCTGATTTTACTTCCAGACCGAGCTGTACCTCAAACCCCAACTCAAAAATTTGTGCACTTCGTACACGCTCTCTGTACCGATGCCTCAACCACACAATTTCCCTCTCGTCACTTTCACCCCTCTACTGGTCCATGCCTCAAACGTAGGGTTTGGTGGTTCCTCGACAAGCCCTCCATTCATGTGTTTGAATTTCAGACTTCAAATCTCAGCTTCAAACTTCGAAGTTCAAACTTCAGACCGCAAGCTTTGAGTGCCGACAACCTGGCTTCGATCCTTTTTAGCGCCATCATCCTTACGATTTTCCCGCCGCTTCTACTCTCTTTTGCAGATCGATTTTTTATCATCAACCTTCGGTAGAGTCCATTGCGCTCTCAACAAGGCTCGTATTTTCCTCCAAGTATCAGCCTTCCAGGTCAGTAGAAAGCGAGCTTTGTTAGTCATTCTTCGCACTCTCTTCCAATTAGACAGCACTCATTAGTTATCCTCCACAACTTCCTCTTATCCACCACTCTTTTTCTTACGTTGTTACGCCAGTGTTCCATGGCGCCCAAGAGCAACCCGGTTCCTGCAGAAGTGTTGGCAATGGCTCAGCGTCAGCAGCCCAACCGTGGTGTGAAGGCCAATCATCTGACTCTCCGTGGTCATTACAACAAGCAAAGTATACCTTGCTTGGTTCTCGCGAATACTAACTTCTCAAGACAGTAGATCCGTTTTCGTCTCCCAGTGTTAACGAAGTAATTTCTCTGCGTCCTTCCAGGTCAGCCGCCTCAAGGCTCTGGTGTTGCTCCACAGCAATCGTCCAAGACGCCATCAACATTGGCTGCATCTCGGAATAGCACGGAGCTGCTCTCGGCTATCTTGGAGAAAGCACCACATGTCGATACCCCGCTTCAGCAGGCAACAGCCGTTGGTGAGTCCCCTCTCCTTACTGTGTCACTGAACAATTTCCTTAAACTTCCATGACTAACAACTGTTTCTTCTTCATTATGGCAGATCTGCCTGTCGGCCAAGAGCTGGAAGTTGTCGGATTGGATCCTGGCTTGATTCTTTCCAGCCAGAACGCTCAGGGTCCAGTGGATGCTTTAGTTGATGCCTCGCTGGAGCAGCCCACTGTTGAGCATATTTCAGCTCCATCAATCCAGGCTCCAGCTGCTCCTGTTCCTGTGCCTGGTGCTGTTCCTGTTCCCCCTGTTTCGTGGTGTTCCACAGAGCTGGCCAACGTTCAGCCGGAATCTGAGACGGCGTTCAGGCTCAAGCTTGAACTGTCCAATTCCGATGTCCTTGAGCGTACCGCTAAGATGTACAACAATCGTTTCGGGAAGAAACTTTCCCTAATCAGATTTGCAGCTCTCATGAACGCCCCACTGAAGTTCGTCACTGCGGACATCAGCAGTGACGGAAAGAAAACTCGGAAGATGGAAGCAGATTTTGCTCTTAAGTGTCATCAGTGGGTCGAAGACAATGGCCTCAGTAAGTCCCTGCCTGTTTGATTTTGTATGTCTTGTTTAAGACTTGTGTGCTTAACCATTCCTCCATCGTTCTTTGTTATGTTCAAATCTGTGTGCTTAACCGTTTCTCCTTGTATTTTTTTTTCCAGACGACACCGGGATCCCGTGGCACGAGTGGGAAGGGGTTCCCTTCTCAAGCCCTGCCTTTCTTGCTATTGGGAAGTTGTGGACCGGAAAGTCTGGTCCTGTGATTGCCCTGCATCGCCACCAGCTCACACTCACCATGGCTGTGGTGAGTTCCTCATTTATGGACGGTCATGTCACGTGTGCTTAGGTTATGGTTCGGTGCTTCGCATCCTTTCCCATCCTTTCCCATCCTTTCCCATCCCTTCCCATCCGTTCTCAACTCTTCCCATCCCTTCCTAACTCTTCTTATCCCTTCCCACCCAATTCCCATCCCTTCCCATCCCTTCCCATCCCTTCCCATCCCTTCCCGTCCCATCCCTTACTACCTCCGCACATCGTCAGGCTGCTAGTGGCTCTTGAATCACCCCGAACCCAGTGTTTCTCTGACACTTCTGCCCCATCCCCTCCCTATCCTCCAGATAGATATGATGGTGATGACAGCACTTCAGCACCCAGACATCCTCTGGCTCCTGAATGCATTCTTCACACCCCTCCACCCCACTCCTCAACTGCCTCCAATACTTCCTTCTGACCGAAGTGATGGTGATGACGGCAGCACAACACCTGTTCATCCTCAGGCTCCTGGGAGTGGCAACATTAGGTTATACTCTAGCCATGGTATATAAGTTGGTGTGATCTGATCCTCCTAGACACAAACCCTCTGTGCCTCTGTTCTCCCCTGCTGCCCCCTTGTTTTCAGACAGGTGACGGTGATTAGCAGTGCAGCACCTGTACATCCCAAGGCTGCTGGGTGCTTCAGAGTCAACTTCAACCTCAACCCCAACTCTTCCCATCCCTTCCCAGGCCGGCCATCTCTTTCCCATCTGTTCCCTTTCCCATCCCTTCCCATCCCATCCCTTACTACCTCCCTTCCTAGCCTTTTCTTTGTTACATCCCCTCTTTAGGTGCTGAGACTTCAAGGAACAAGGGCCACTTCCAGCTTTAGGTGCTGGAGTTCTAGTTCTCCTCTTAACACCATGTCAACACTCTTTCCTTGTCACATTTCCTTCATTCCCCTTTTATGCATGCTCTGATTTTATCAGGTCCGTCAAAAGTTGCGCCATCCCAACATGGCCCGCGTTCAGTTGGAACGGTCGGGAGATCCGGATGCGCTAGGGAGGCAGGAACGCGTCGTTCAGCGCCTGCTGAACCGCTTCAAGGCTTCCAAGCACAACGGAAACAACTACTTCATTGGGAAGCTCTACCTTATGGAGTGGGAGGATGTCCCTGCGAACATCCTTGCTCTTGATGTCCTTGGGGATCGGGATGCAGCTGACGTCCCTGATGCAGACTTCAATGGAGAGGGCTTGGAGGTGATTTTCTGAGTGCTATGGAGGAGCAGCTGGGGGCATTGTCCAATCATCATGCTGTTGGATAGTGGCTATGGATTGGGGATTTGATAATGGCATTGGATTCTATGTTTTCTCCTGTCGATTGTTTGTTGTTATAATAATCTAACAATTTTTTATATCGGAATCAAATTATATTTATTATTACGGATTATATGGATGTAATTATGCTTAGAATAGTTGTAGTGGTAATTCTAATGTACCAACAGACTATTCGAAATATCGTCAAATCAAGTTTGACTACACTGAATGTTTTGTAACGAGATTGTCGATTCGCTGGGACTCGCCTTTGACGTGTTGCCAAGACGCCAAATTTCGAACCGAAATGTTCGTCGCGGCACGGTTTTTGTTGGGTGACTAGCGGGAGAGACGAAGACGTTCTTGAAAACGTCTCGCCAATTCCGAGCCAACCCCAACCAAACTGCGCGACTTTTTCCCCACACTCCCCCGACTTGAAAAAACCCCCCCTCCTTTCTCCGATGCAGGGGCTTCAAAAATGGCACTGGCCTCCCGCCTTGCCGTCAACGTCGGGGTTGTGATGCTGTGATGCTGGCCAACCCCGAAGCGCATCACAGCTTCCCCGGCTCCCTCCCTTCGTTGCATCGCCACGCCTTACCACGCATCACTGCTTCTCTCGCTGCGCTGGACAGAGTCTCTCACTCCCCACCCCGACTCGCTACGATTTCATGTTCACCGTCGTCGATTTCCTATCCTGTGGTTCTAAAGTCGCCGCTTACTAGCGACTCGTATCAGGTAGCGCTTTGAGTTAGCGTTCCCCTTCGTCGAATATAGGCCATGGATCCCACTCGTGGAACGGACGCTGCTGTCGCTGCTCACAGTTCCTTTGATAAACTCCCTGACGATTTACTTGTTCACTTATTTCGGTGCGTCGAACAAGGTTTAATCTCCTCACCACTGCAGCAACCGCCGATGGCGTCAGCATCATCACCATCGGTATCTTCCAGCACCTCCTTCTCCTTCTCCTCTTCCTCCTCTTCCTCCTCCCGAGGCACCCTCGCGCTCGTGTGTCGCCGGTGGTTTCGACTCGCGTGCGGCACGATCATGTCTCTCGACCTCTCGCGCCGTCAGGGAATCTCCGCGTCGCAGCTCTTCAGCACCGTCACCCTCGCGCCCAATCTCACGTCTCTTCAGGTCGCCCTTTCCGGCACAGACCTTATCACGGACGCCTTCATCGCGCTGATCGCACAAGTGTGTCCCCGCCTCGAGCGCCTGTCGCTGTTCGACAACCTGCGCTATGGTGGTGCTGAGCACCACGTGTGGACGTCCAACGGGCTCGAATCGCTCTTCCAGAGGTGCACGCAGCTGAAGGATCTCTCGCTTGCCTGCTCGCCCTCCGTCACCCATCTCCCTGCAAGCATTTCCCAACTGGCTGGGCTCGAGCGGCTCCAGATTTTCTCAAGGCTCATTGTCAACCTGCCAGAGGAGATCGGAGGGCTGCAGGCGCTGAAGGCCCTCCACGTGAACGCACCTCGACTCACAGCCCTGCCCGACAGCCTTAGTGACCTCTCCAATCTGCAGGAGCTGTCGCTCGAAGGCTGCTCGGATCTGACATCGGTACCTGACGCTGTCTTCAGCTGCACCACCCTGGAGTCTCTGGACCTCGACCTGCCGAACCTGGCCAGGCTGCCGGAGAGTATGAGCCAGCTGCAGAGCCTGCGGCGTCTCATTGTGGACAGGGGCTTCAGGGCTCTAAGGCTCCCCGCGTCCTTCACGCTGCTGTGTGCCGTCGAGGAGCTGACTCTGGACGTGTGCCTCCAGCAGCTACCGGAAGGCTTTGAGACTCTCACCAGTCTGCGAAGGCTGGAGCTGAAATGCTCTGAGCTCACTCACCTCCCTTCCTCTCTGCCGCAGCTCTCCCTCCTTGAACACCTTGCGATTGTTGGATGCAATCAGCTGGTGCCTCTGCCAGACACCATAGGGCAGCTGCCAGCACTCAGGGTGCTCCGCCTCTCCTGCTTGGACAGTCTCGAGAGCCTTCCGGATTCCGTTGGCCAGCTGCAGCAGCTGCGATCGCTCACAATCGAATTCTGTGATTGGCTCCACGTGCTGCCAGAGTCCCTGGTGCTGCTCAGTGCCTTGGAGACACTCAAGATTCTCTACTGCCGAAGCCTCTCCTCCCTACCCGGAGGCATGCACCTCTTGACGAGCCTTCAGCGGCTGGAACTCTGCGAGTGCCCCGAGATCTGTGAGCTGCCTGACAGCATCTCTCTCTGCAAAGCCCTTGAGTGTGTTTCCATTGTGGAGTGCCCAGCTCTCACAAGCATTCCTGTAGGGATTCGGCACCGGGTTAGGATGTGGTGCTGCAGTTGATGATGTGTGATGTTCGTAAGGTACAGTGTAGTAGCTGCAAAATGATAGTCAAGGGTGGAGATTATAACGGATTTATAGTCAACTTATACATATGTTTGTATGTAGAAGTTAATAGGCTAGATAGGGTTGTGTTCCTAGAGGGTATAACTCCAATCGTATATCTCCCTTGTCCTCACCTGTTTCTAGTATTTCTGCTATCTTAACATGGTAGCATAGTACCGTATTCTCCTGGATATAGTACCCTAGGGAGCAAATAAAAAATCATGAAAATTTTGGGGTGGGTGGAATTAAAGGCAAAAAAAATATAAGACCATGGTGTCAACTTATACATATGATTTGTGTAGAAGTTATAGGCTAGACTAGGTGTGTGCTTCTAGTGAGTACAACCCAACAGGTATATGTTCTAGGTTTCTCTTCCTAGTAAAACATTCTCGTATTCTAACATGGTATCACGCTTAGGTTAGGTCCCCCCCCACCCACCGCTTCCGCCCGCGCCCTAGCCTACGCGCCCTAGCTCACTCCCCCCTCCCCCCTAGCGCCTCCCTTTGCACCCGCTAGGCCCCCCGTCGCGCCTGCTAGGCCCCGCCGCGCCTGCTTGGCCCCGTCGCGCTCGCTAGGCCCTGTCACGCCCCCCTGGGCCCCTTCGCACCCGCTAGGCCCCCGTCGCGCCCCCTGGGCCCCGTCGCGCCCGCTTGGCCCCCGTCGCGCCCCCCCTGGGCCACTTCGCGCTCGCTAGGCCCCCGTCGCGCCCACTCGGCCCCCGTCGCGCTCGCTGGGCCCTGCCGCACCTGCTAGGCCCCGTCGCGCTCGCTAGGCCCCGTCGCGCCCCCCCTGGGCCCCTTCGCGCCCGCTAGGCCCCGTCGCGTCCCCTGGGCCCCTTCACGCTCGCTAGGCCCCCGTCGCGCCCCCCCTGGGCCCCTTCGTGCCTGCTAGGCCCCTGTCGCGCCCGCTGGGCCCCGTCGCGCCCGCTAGGCCTTGTCGCATCCGCCCGGCCCTCGCTACCGCCGCCCGGCCTCTTCCTAGCGGTGCCCGGCCTCTCCCTAGCGCTGCCCGGCTTCTTCCTAGCGCCGCCCGGCCTCTTCCTAGCGCTGCCCGGCCTCTCCCTAGCGCCGCCCGGCCCCTCCTCGTGCCCGCCCGGCCCTAGTCGCACCTGCCCCGCCCCTCCTAGCGCCCGCCCGGCCCCAGTGCGCCTGCCCGCCCCCCCCCCCCTAGCACCCGCCTGGCCCCTCCTAGCGCCCGCCCGGCCCCAGTGCACCCGCCCGGCCTCCTAGCGACCGCCCGGCCTTTGGCGCCCGCCCGGCCTTTGGCGCCCGCCCGACCTGTCGCGCCTGCCTGCCTCCTAGCGCCAGCCCGGCCCCTCCCACTGCCCGTCCGGCCCGTCCTCGAGCCAGCTCGGCCTGTTGTGTCCTCTCGGGCCCTGTGTCTTCTGCTCGCCCGCGCTGGGGCGCCTCGCAGCCGCCCTACTAGAGAGTGCTGCCGCCGTGTCCCCGCGCCGCTGTGCTCCTGCGGAGCTGTGGAGTTGTGCCGCTGTGTCGCTGAGGAGCTGTATCGCTGACCTTGCACGATGGCTGACTTCGTGCTCCGACTGGACGCTGAGGGCCACGCGGTTGACTTCGCCGCCAGGCTCTCCGATCTCCGCCGCCAGCTTACAGGTCAGCGCCAGGATGGCCATTCTTTGGTTGTCCATGCTGATGGCTTGCTCCCCCGCCCCCCTGCACCTGCTCCCCTCCCTGCTGACCCCTCCTCTGATGACCGTGAGGCTTTCTCTACTGCTGCGCTGGCCTGTGCGGTCTGGGACTCACGCGATGCAGTCGTTCAGGTTGCTATCATTCACGCCCTCCCTATGTCTGAGCGCTCACGTTTCGCTACGATTGATACGGCCAAAGCTTATTTAGACGCCGTTAGTGCTCGCTATTCCACACCTGCCTCCGCTTTTGCTAGCCGCTTGCTCTTCCCGATGCTGTTCCCAGACCTTGCTGCCTTCCCTACTGTCGCAGACTTTGCCACTCACTTGCGTGCCCTAGAGACTCGCTATCGCACTGCCAGCACTGCTGCCCAGCTCACTGCGCTCCCCCCCCCTTTCTGCATGACGCTCTATTTTATCGCCATGCGCCTGCCGGACCGCCTAGCTAGTGCTCGCGACCACTTCCTTAGCCAGCACCCGGGTGACCTCACCCTGACCGCTTTTGTCGACACTCCGACCGCAGTTTTACGTCCCTTCCCTGTCCAGCAGTTCCCTCGGGCTCCCTTACAGGCCTCCACGTTCCCTCGTTCTCGAGGAACCTGGTTGGTGTAGGCTGTATCCAGGACCTCGGCGTCACCACTACGTTCCCCGAGCACGCGCGGTTCGCTGTCTATTTTGAGGCTGTCTCAGGTTCCCCCCTTGCGACGTTCCCCCGGGACCCGGTCTCCGGTCTGTTCACCCTAGACACCGCCTCCCCCCTGGTTGGTGCGTCCTCCCAGGTCGCTGCAGCTTGCTCGTGTCGGTCCCTCACTCACCCGTCCCTTCTGTGGCACCACTGCTTAGGTCACCCTGCTCTCCCGCGTCTGCGTCACATGTCCCAGCACGGTCTTGTCTTAGGCCTCCCCGCGTCACTTCCTGCCCTTCCCCCTTCGACTGCGCCACCGTGCACGCCGTGCGTCGAGGGCCGGCTCCGCCGTGCTCCTCACTCCTCCTCGCTGCGTCCTGCTACTGCCCCCCCTTCAGACCCTGCACCTGGACGTTTGGGGCCCTGCCCCCGTCCCCGGACCGCGTGGTGAGCGCTACTTCCTTGTGCTCGTCGACGACTACACGCGCTATACCACGGTGTTTCCCCTGGAGCAGAAGGCCGACGTGCTCGACAAACTTCTACCGTGGGTTGTGGCTGCGCGCCTTCACCGCGGTCTCCCCGTGCTGTGTCTCCACTCTGACCGTGGCGGCGAGTTCGCCTCTGGTTGGCTTGGACAGTTCTGTCGTGCGGAGGGCATCACCCAGTCGTACACCTTGCCGGACTCGCCACAGCAGAATGGGGTTGCCGAGCGCCGCATCGGCTTGGTCATGGAGGTAGCTCATACCTCCATGATCCTTGCCGATGCCCCCCATTTTCTGTGGCCGTTCGCTGTCCGCTACGCTGCTCACCAGCTTAACTTGTGGCCACGCTCCCAGCGGCTGCAGGTCTCGCCGACCCTCCTTTGGACTGGGTCCCCTGGTGACGCGTCTGCGTTCCACGTCTGGGGTTGCCTTGCTCACGATCGTGCCTCAGGCACGGACAAGCTCACTGCCCGCACTGTCCCTTGTGTCTTCCTTGGTTTCCCCCTGGACTCGTCTGACTAGCTCTTCTACCACCCGCCGTCTCACCGCTTCCTCCACTTTCGTGATGTCACCTTTGACGAGTCTGTCTCCTTCTACCGCCGCTTCCCTCACGGAGGTCTCCCTGTCTCTCCCCCCCTGTTCCTTGCTCCCTCTCCCCCGGTAGCCCCTGCTCCTCTCCCGCCTCGTCCTGCCCCGTCTGGTATCTCTCACGTCACTCCCCTCCCGTCAGTTGTTCCCTTTGAGGAGTCTGCTGACTCTGGTGGTACCCCTGGCCCGTCCTTGCTGCGTCCCCCTTCCCCGGTGTCCCCGCCTCCCCTGTCGCAGCCGCCGCCGCCGCCGCCGCCGTTGCCGCCGCTGCCGCCGCCGCTCTTGGCCTCTGGGGGTGCTGGCGTTGAGGAGGGTGTTCGTCCCGCGGCTCCTGGCGTGGTCTGTCCCGGCGGGCCTGGGGGTGCCGCTGGTGCTGGCGGGGGTTCTCGCTGTGGGGGTGTTGGTTCTGGGGGTGCTGCCGTTGAGAGTTCTGCTGGCGGTCGTCCTGCCCCTGCCGGTCCGAGGGTCGAGGCCCAGCCGTCGCCGCAGCCGCAGCAGCCGTCGCCGCCGGTCTCCGCTCTCCGCCTGCTTGTCCTTCCCTCCCCTGACTGCTCGCCGGTGTCTCCCCCACAGCCTGCTGACCTTCCTGTCTACGGTCCTGTGTTCCCGCCGCTGGACTCGTCTCCGGCCCGTCTTCCTCCTCGTTCCCCTCCTGTGTCCCCTCCGCTGTCTCCTGACCCTACACCTCCATCCCACGTTTGGTCTCGTCGTCCCTCACGTGCCCGTCCCGTCTCCCCTGTCCTGTGCTCCCACCCTATGTTGCTCCGTCCCCACTCGTCTCGTCCTCCCCTCCTCCCGTCCCCTCCTCCCTCGTCGCTCGTTGTTGCACCTCCTCCGTTTTCTAACTACCTCCGTGCCACTCGTCCCCTTGTCCCTCGGGTTCTTGCCTCTCTTGTTACCGACCCTTCTGTTCCTGTCTCGTGCCTTGACGCGCTGGTCGCTGCTGTCGCTGACTTCGCCTCTACCCGCCGCCTTGACTACGCTACCGCTCTGGTCTCTGACCCTGCCCGTCCTCCGTCCGTCGGGGGTGCACCTGCCCTTGGCAATGACATCCTAGAGGACCGGCAGTACGAGCTTGCTTTCCTTTCCGAGGCCGCTCCCCATCTCTGCTCCATGCTGTTAGTCCCTGAGGGTGACCCAGACGCTTTTGACATCCCGACCCCTCGCACCTACGCTGAGGCCACCTCGGGACCTTGGGGCTCTCAGTGGATAGCTGCCATGGAGCAGGAGATGGCATCTTGGAGGTCCACCGGCACTTACCTCGACGCAATTCCCCCGCCTGGGGTGAACGTAGTCGATGGTCGGTGGCTCTTCAAGGTGAAGCGCCCCCCTGGAGAGCCGCCTGTCTTCAAGGCGCGCTACGTGGCGAGAGGCTTCAGCCAGCGCGAGGGGGTTGACTTCTTCCAGACGTTCGCCCCGACCCCGAAGATGACCACTCTTCGGGCGCTGCTACACGTAGCAGCACAGCGCGACTACGAGCTTCACTCCCTCTTCTCAAGCGCCCGGTCTACGGCCTGCGTCAAGCTCCTCGCGAGTGGCACGACACGCCATGGCACCTGCGTAGATCCCAGACTCTTCCCAAGCAACCTCTTCCCAGACTCGCGTGCTACCGTGTCGCAAATTTTGACGCGATAGGTTTCAGTGCGATTTCGCGAAGTGCGGAATGAGATTCGGCTTCCCGAGTTTCAGGGGCGTGTTTTAGAACCTTTTTTCAGACGAGCAGATTTTCAGACAAGCGCGAATCTGCACAGTAAATTTTTGACGCCAGCTGGTTATAT